GCCATTCCAACCTGAAGGAAAGAAAAACTTTATTAGCAGTTCATTGTACGAAAAACTATGGTGTTCCTTTCCAGTTACGGTTTAGCCACACCCTGGCTTTGCACGAAGTGGGAATAACTTCAAACACTACAGTGTCACAGTCTTTGCCCAGTGAAAGTAACTGCCATCCTTCTTGTCTGCCAACTTCTGCCCAACATCCGTGCTCTTTGAACACAAGAAGAAGGTCGTCAGCTGGAATGTTGGAGTCCAAAGAAGCTTCATTTTTTGAATCCTCCGAGTTTTACCTTCTTCATTTGGGTCTTCTGTGAATGTTAATGCATGTGTCTTTCATCCACAACTTCCGCTGCTTTCCTGAAGGCGATTTTTGCAGTTTCATCTGAACATATTGGGAACATTTTCAATTCACAATTGAGTAGCAGAGCATGACAACTTACTCAAGCTGCCGTCAAGTGAATAGAAAACGCCTCGTGACCATCTTCTACCGGGATAAGTTTTGTCGTTGTAAGCTTGCCGTCTGGAACGGCTGCTGTCTATATCCGCAATGACTTCGTGTTGTTGCTCCCTAGTAAGAGTTATTTTCTCACAGCTGCTTGTTTCGGTGCAAGGCTGGGAAAACAAACTTGGAAAGGACCATATCTCCCTGGAACAGCACGTTTACTATTCCACTTTTCGTGTTGACTCGCTCAATTGACTTTTCCATTTGTGCCAATTTGATACGAGTTTCCCCTTTGGAACGGCTGAAATGTTCTATACACTTCTACGATCAATTTTGAACATAGGAACTCACTAACCTTTAGCCCTTTTAGAAACTCCTTTTGTTCTTGACTTAAAACGGTAGCCGTTTCTAATCTTTCCTTGCAGCCGCTCAGCTTTTTCCAAAGCTCACGCATATTTTCGAAATTCTGTGGGTATTTGAAGCAACTACTAGTAAGTCATTTTTGATAAACTTCAGAGGGGTCTCGAACCTCTTCAATCCGGCGAACAAGCTTTTCCACCCTGTTTGACTTATTTCCATGTGAGCGGTCCTCGAGCATTTTTTTTACATAAGATATTTCCACATCAACAATATCAGTGTCAGTACTCACACCGATCACTAGTAGAACGAGTGGTAGAACCCTCATCATACATGGAATACTAGGAATTTAATCAATGAGACGCGATAGTTACAAATTAGAGACCCGTAAATGAATTGTTGGGCTGGTGCATCCTCCTTGTATTTATATGGTACTTGCAGTCATAACGTTGACATAAGGTGTATGCGCTCTATGTCGAGATATGGATATAGAAGCAATTTCAGCTGCAGCTCCAGCGCGCCGCACAAATATTGTTCAAACATCACTAAAATTTTGATAATTTTTCAAAATGTCAACGTGCGTTCATTCAGCCTCATTCAAATTCTGACCAGGAAAGGATTATGGGTTGAAGTGGCGATGAGACCCATAGTGTTGGATGTGCTTTTAGATCTGCTCTGAGCTGATCAAATTTGCTTTCCAAATCTGTCTGTCGATTTTCTGAACAGAGTTATGAAACACGATAGAGTAGCGGTAGTGGTCCGGGCTCACGGCGAAGGTTGTGGGATCGATTACCTGGCAGATAATTTGGCTACAATTTGCCCATTGAGATATACAATATTTATCTCCAGAACACGAATATCGCGCACCAGTTTGCTGCAAAAAACGCCCGTCAAGAGTTCTGCGGGCTCTATATGCGGTCATCAGCAAATAGCGCCCCAAACTTTTTCGTCGCAAATCTTGATGAAGTCAAGTGGTCGGGAGCGTTAGAGAGCAGATTCGAGATAGCTCGCAAAAAACATCCATCATCGTAGGCCTCATTACATGGTCATGTCGACCCATCATCCTTTCCCGAAATATTAGGCGAAGGCGCAAGCTGATGGCGCTTTGAACACTGTTCTATAGGTAACAAAAAATTTCATAGATTGAAAAGTATCTTAAAAGGCACAACACACTTCAGTGGTTCGGGTCTGTAGAACTAACGAAACCACCCTTAGTACCACAGATATCTGCACTCCAGGCATGAAAATCACCGGGCAAAGACGTGCGGGCCTCGCAAAATAAGCTGAAGCAGCTGCAATTTTTTGCTTACTATTCGGCTTTTATCTGACGCCATCGGTTGCGCTCTCTCGCCTCATGGTCTCTTCTCCGCGCTTAGTCTCTCACTCTCACGTAGCACAACCGCATCACTAAAGTAAGCAAGTCCCTACTTTAAGCGTTTCTACAAATTCCTATCCTATTTTCACTGTCCACCTATTTAGCAGTAGTACTTTCATACTGCAGGATCCGTACCAGTGTGATCTTGTAGAAATACCCTTTAAAACGGAAAGTTCTGGCGATGGGGTGATTGTCCCTTGCAAACGTGAACGAGGTGGTGATGGCAATGGAGAAGGAAAAGACCTAAGAGAAAATTGCTTCCGAACCTGCAGGGTTTGGAACGCTCGTATCTTTATCTTCGTTCTTCTTGCTGAATTCCACATTAGGGAAACGAATGACCGCACAGATGGATGCTGATGCAGAGCGTGGACATGTTATCAACAAACTTCATGCTTTTCATATGATCGATAGAGGCAATGTGACCACCTAGCAATCTTCTACTACCGGTAAGCTAAAGGCTTTGGACGAGCTCTCTATGCGATGAGGGATTAGTAAGGGTGACGCATCGTCGCAAGAGCGCTAGATCTCAATGCCATCCAGCAATCCTAGTCCTCTTATGGCAATTCAATCATTACGATACTTCAAATGCAATTCTCGTAATAATCTGGCATTATTCACGTTCTTAATATTAACAGCAAGGGTATGAGTAACATTCGATGGTTTGGTCGAAATCCGTCCGCTAAAGAATTCTTGATTACGTTTAGCTAAAAGGGTTGACATATGCAGCAGTAGCATCGGAAATGTACAAATTTCTGATGATGAAGATGTGTAATATAAGTGGTCCATAATGTGGACCGCCTATCCTTCACAATGCTGTCAGATATGTAACGCGGTTCAATTTCTCAATTTGGATAGGCGAGGTTCCCCTAGATTTGACTTCAAAGGCAAAAAAATTGTGCTCATACCCATTGAATAAACCCTCACCGTGGCTAGAAGTGCTTAGATACGCAAGTGCAGAGGTCGCGCCACCTTTCTACATCGAAACGCGTCACTAGGACGCTAGGCGCCATGGACTTCTAACAGACTCCACCAAACTTAACATGGTCCGCCCACCGTTCGATATCTTGTCTGCGTCGCTACGTTGATCTGCTATGCTCTCTCTTCTCGGACTTCTCTACCGCTCTCCGCGCTCACATTATCTCTCATCTCCCTGCCTGCCTTTTGAACTTCTCCGCAGCGTAGAGCAAAATGCTCGTTTCCTGTGTATTTCACGATTTTCTTTCCCTTTTTCTCCACATTTTGTCCAATCCTATCCCTAGTCATATCTGACGATGAGTGGAATTACCACATCAATCTAATCCTGAATCATGCCTTTAAGTCATTTATATTCGCTAAGAAATCACTGATCCTGGTAGATGAATTCATTGGGTCTCGGTCTTTTCACAATAGTAGCTGAATGGCAGTTTGGGAGTGCATATGTACCCATATCAAACCGCAGAATCCACCAACATTTCTCAGAGGAACGTTTTAAAAGTTTTTCGGTGTTGTGTTATTTTTACGTCAGCATTTTAGCTCGGACGACTGGGGAAACTGGCTTACTGTCGCACAACATCGCAAAGTAACTTTGCTAACCAAACTGTGTCTGCAGCTGCACATCTGAACGTTGAGGTTCTTGTGAAAACAACGTGGATAACGTGTACAAACGACACGTGTTATTCTGTTGTTTTCACAAAAATTGTTTGGATGTAGTACTTCAGCGAAATTAAGCAGCAAAACATACAAAAAATGAAGCATCATAGATTCGGGCAGTATTTGGTCAGGTGTTCTGCATTCACCAATGATATTTCCGACAGGGTTAACTGACGCGTTCGCACTCTATCAGATATTTCACGACCTCCCCCCCCCCATATACGCACACACGCACACACCGAATTCTCCCCTCACCATCCTGTAGACTGGCTCTCAATACTATGGCTTTTCCCATAGTACTGGTACCAGTCGATATGCTGCAACTCCTCCTCCGAGTGATGACGTTAAATGTGAGCTAATGGACCGTGGAGATTTCTTGCGCACAACCCGTGGCACAAAACGGAAGGCGAGTTAGACGAAGTAAGCAAACCAGCCCTTTTGGCGTTTCTGCTGGGGCCGTATGCTGAATGTTGGGGAGGGGATGGGGTCCCCGACGGTCGACGGACACTTCAACTCGGTCCTTAGAACCGCCTCAATTTGATGCTTACCTCAGGACTAAGCCTTAAAGAGAGGACGGACCTGCGCTCTCTCGCCCTCTCCAAGGCTTAGTCCTGGGTAAGCAAACCAGCCCTTTTGGCGGAGCTGCTGGACCTAGCTGCACCACTTCGTCATCACTCTCCTACCGTACCGACCGAGTTCAAGTAGTCCGTCGACCTCGGGGACCCCATCCCCTCCCCAACATTCAGCATACGGCCCCAGCAGAAACGCCAAAAGGGCTGGTTTGCTTACCTCTGTTCAGACTACTCGTTCGCAAACACCTGTTCCTTATTTCAGAAGGGGAAGAGAGAGCCATCTCTAAGGGTTCCATCGGGAACTTGAATGCTTCCTTTTTCATTTTGATAATCCGGCATTAGCAGTTTCATTATCAAGCGCTTACCCCACCAGCCCACAAATCTAGGGTTGTTTCTTTGATATTTCTTTCCAGTAGGGCGGGCGAAGTGGGAGGCAGGTTAATATGTCTTTGTGAACAACAAACCTGATTTAGCCTGACCACGCTGTCACCCTGTTAAGTTTTCTTCAAAATCATCAAAATTCGTCCAGATCTTCAAAGCAACCCCCTTGTGCTCCACTGGAGGACAATTGTTTGCTTGCTGACGCGCCGCGGTTGGCATTGGAGTGCAAGATTTCCCATTAAACGGCATTCGAGCAACAAGAGCCAGGGACATGTTGGATCTCAATCGAGCATATATTCTTAATAGGTGGTTTTGCAAAAGTTGGACCACATTCAGTCTCTACGAACTTCTTCTTCTTCTTTCTAAAAAAGCAAAGTTCGGGCTCAGACCCACTTAATGAGCCTTTACGGTGGCTAGAAGAGCTGGGTACGCAAGTGTGGAGGTCACGTCACTCCCCTACTTCGAAAAGCGTTACTTAGACGCTAAGCGCTAAAAACTTTGACACGCTCCGCCCACCCCTCGATATGTTGTCTGCGTCGCTAACTTGATCTGC